AAAAACAAACAAAAAAAAAAAAAATGCCGTACGGGACTCGCCGATTCCGTACAATGAATCGGCGAGTCACTTTGCAGAATCGTCTGGTTCTCTCTAGAACCGGATGATTCCCGTTTTTTTCGCCGATTAGATCCGTCCATGGCGATTCCCGAGCCGAACCGAACGAGTCCGGTTTGACTCGACGTTTTTTTAAACACTACCTAATACAGTATCTCACACAGTTCTTATGCGAATGCCTCCATGTTAGAATGGAGCGTCAGAGAGAAAATTAAGGAGCTTTTGCAGGACGCAGTGCAGTGCTGTACATACATAAATGCCTACCCTGACGTTGGAACAGAAAGGGGTGGGGCGATGGCTCCTCCCTGCAGGCTACAAGCACCATCATGGGCCTAAAACCCCACTAAATTGAGCAATAACAAAACATGGAAGGGAAAAATATGGATGGGTTAGCAACCGATTTGAAAATATATAAATACAAGTAAAGGAAAGAGGCAGATAATATTGTAGAAGATAGAAGAAAGCTTTGCAGCTTGTCGATCGTTCTGGACATATGGCAACTTCTAGAACAACTTGTAAAGAAGGGAATTGCGTTGTTCCATATTTGAACAATCAATGTCTTGCATGTGGTACAAAGTAATGCTACATGGTGGAGAAAGTAGGCATGCTGCCCATATCAACTTTTGATGGTACCAGATGAAAAACCAGCACATGTTATTAATCCACTTGCATAGGCCAGATGATAAAACATGATGTCAAGGTACACAAGAAGGGAATTGCATTGATCTACATGCACTCATGCCATCCATGTAGGGATACACTCACATGCCAAACCCCACCTTTTTCTTTCCTCCCGCCTCCAGAAGAATATGCATCAAATGACATGCCCCATCATTATCATGACATGAGGGGCATGACATGGATATCCTGAAGATTCATAAGCATTTCGGCCCCAAGGAAATATAGTTACTCATAAGCAGGTCTCTCACTCATGTTTCTGATAGCTTCTGTTGTTGTTGCTCCTTTCTCTGCGTGTGATGGATCTGCCCATGCGCTTGCGGCGATTGATTAGGGCATCCAACAAAACAACTAAGGCATTCCCTAGGGCTTCGGCCTGCTTATCTAACCCTTTTGACTCTAGCGAAGGAAGATGACTCAACTCAGAGAGAAGTTGAACAGCAGCTGCTGCTGTACAGGTACGATCCCAAGATGGTTGAGGCCTGTAGATATAGAAAAGAGCCTTACTACTGCGACCAACGACCAAATGATAACAAATAATTGGCAAAGAAATACAGCTTTTGGGGTGAGACCCAAAGGTCTGTTTCTGCAAATCTACCTGAGTTTATGCATCACCGAGACAGTGGAGTTCGGAAAAGAAAGGCAGGGAAAATCCTCAGTTCCCCATTCGATCCTCGCGCGTTGCTTCAAATCATTTTATTCAATCGGTAACTCTTGCATATTAATGTGGGGCCAAAAAGGTATTGTACATCAAGAGAAAATAAACACAATTTGGGGAACACGAGTAAGATCCGAAGTATCCAATTCTCTGAAGTATGTTCAGTTTCATTAAAAACTCTAGAGCTGCACTAAAAACAGTCAAATATTTACAAACGACAAAGAAAAAAGAAGCACATGGATTAAGTCTGACTTGCACAAAGAAAGTTATCTTTACGAGCTCAAGTGTCTGACTCGCGCAAAAAAAGTTATCTTTACGAGCTTAGCCATCACTTCTTTAGCTTGTTTTGCTGGATTGATGCTGATAGAAAGGCAATTAATATCATGTTTCCCAGAGAATGTTACACCCACAACAGTAGTTTCAGTAGGAATGTGTTAGAAATGAAGTAATAACTGAAAACAATTGAAACTTCCATATGTTAGCTCCCAAAACATGTTTATCCTTGTTTTTCTATCAATTAATAAAATACATTGATAACGAAATTTAGAATGAAAAGTATAGCCGCATGCCTGACTAACACAACTATCAAAATTTGCGTTTTCTGGTTTAGCTAAAACCCAATATATAGAGCCTTGAATCTATTTCACCTCAAATGTTTTCCAAGATTCTTGAATGTTTTCCACATGTTGTCAGACGCAGTGGAGTTAGTTGAGTGTCATACAAATGATAGGGCAACAAATGAGGTTTGGAAGGGTGATGGTTTGAGAATCGGATTCATGATAATTTAACAATCAGGAGGGAACTCCGCCTGTATAGTGCAGCAGGGTTTTGATGAAATGGATCAAAGGAAGGTTGTTGACCCCAAAGATACATGTTTATGAATCAGGCTACTCTTACATCTTACCATTCTCTTATACATTTAATGCAATTGAATGGTCTTTAGAGCTAGGATCATCATTTGAAGGTCACTATTCTGATATTGACAAGGGATACAATATTCATCAAATAAAATGTTAGCACTGATGGACATTTACGACTCTTAATAGATGCTTCCATGGCAAAAGCGAAACAGGAATGCCATTTGTATCCCAATTTCAAAAGGATTGGGACATTGTCAAAGCAATATTCAGGTTCTTCAACTGAAAATCAATGCAACACATAGTTATGTGGCTTGAGAGAGAATTGGTCAAAAGAAGAAGACATTACAACCTTAGGAATATACATGCCTTATGTTGATCAAGGTCAACAATAAAGTGCATCCATAACCCAAGAATCATAGAAAGGTTTGATGATTAAAAAAAAGCCCTAACAAACAAATTCCAATACAAATATTTCAATAGGATGGATAGAACTTGCATGTCTTTAACTTAGCAACAATACCTTCAAACGCCTAAACATCGCAGCTGAATTGTTCCATGTCCCATCAATTAAAACGAAGTTTACAGGCTGCTCTTGGCACATCTACAGAAAGAAATGCTTATAGTTACCACACAGTTTTTATAGGCAAAGTGGCTCAAAAACATGGACAGGGCGCAGGGAATCCTCCATTCAATCTTGGGCAAATGGGTGGTAAGTTAGCTCATCTCAAGATGTATGCATCAATGATACTTAAATTCAGAAAGCCTGTATTTTACAACTCAAATATGGATGAAAATGGCAAGAAATGATGAAATAATTTAAAAAATGATTCAAAGCTTGCATATCATTGGGAAAATTCAAATAACAGTTGATTTTCAATCAAGTTAAACTCTAATGCTACATGTTAAACCACTAATATTACATATCAATGAAGCCACTTGTCCTTAAGGCAATTACAGCAGTTATCATGCTCATGTAGTTAATAGAGAAAAGAGCACGTACTAATTTTCAAAAACAATGCAAATAGAAGTTAATAATGAACGTTTGCTCAACAGGCCACATTGGTGTCCTTAATTCTTCTTACCCCCAGATCTCCATTTCCTTCATCTTTGAAAACTTGTCCCAACATTCTATATGTATTCTTCTAGTTTCTGCCTAAACACTCCATTCCCTCAAGTTTTTCAAGATGGTAGACAGCTATTGAGAGAATAAATAGGAACATTGAATGAACTGGTAAATTGGATACAGTAGATCTAATTAAAGGTATCTGTGCACTGAGAGATAGGTATTATCTTGTTTTCCAAGAGTACTTTTTCCATCAAATCTTTCTCTGACCCCATCCCACATCGATTTAGGATGCTTACAAAGGCACATTAGAAGCCCAAGTCATGTGCTTGGAAACTTATCTATACTATATCCAAGTTCTTTGCTAACCTCTCCAATTTGTCATCTGGAACTGGGATGCCAAATGGCCCAGTAACTTTGCCTTCTGCAATATTAATCCAAAGTCCTGATACATAAGTTCAAAATCATGCAGACAAAGCATTAGTCTTCGCAGTTGTGCATCCGATGGATCACCAAAGATGATCATGTGTCTTTTCTTTTTCTTTTCTTCGAGGATAAAAGATGATCATGTTTTCTGCGTACTTGAGGTGAAAATTTTGTTGTCCTCTTTTGCATCTTGTTATTGAAATGGAAACCTCTCCCTATGATAATTGGGAATCTTTTTCCTTTTTTTTTTTGGTAAATAAGGAATTTCTATATATAATCACTACTTTTATATTTGTTCTCATGTAAATATGTGGAACTCCAGCTAGCTTATGTTTTGATAATGGATAACAAAGATGGGAGAGGATAACAAAACCATGGTGCAAAGAGCAGTTCCTATGCTTATTTAGTGTACATACATGCAGTATGCTATGTGAACTCATGCACAGTGTTTGCATTCGTATCCTCTTTTTATCGGTGCATGTGTGCACAGATGCAGATGCATGCATGAATGTGCATATGACCTCTGTTTTTAATTATTTTCATCTGTATGTCTCTGTTACTGTCATGATGCATATATCATCTGCATATTTGGGACCATGATGGAGGGTGGGTGTGTGCATTCACATGGGTATGTTGGTATGCGTTCTAGCAGATTCACAATTTTTTGCACTTTATATTCATCTTGGCTTGTGCCATTTCACTTATGTAAGTTGACATAATTGTCACAATATTCTGTTGACTAAACTAAACCTCACGTTGTGCTTGTTGTGGCAGTCCTGTTGTACATTCAGGTTCGCTCCTTCCCCAAGACCTTTCTACCTGCTTTCTTCTCTAATCGTTCTTGATACATCAGTGTTCCCCGTCTTACTTTTATTCCATCTATTGGTGTGTCTATAGACTAAACAAGTTAGTTCAGTCTTTTGGACCAAAACTTGGTAGTTTCCATTCTTTCTTTGCTTTGAACTAGAAAATGCTGAGAAGCAAGCATAAGTGCTTAAACCAAGGTAGCGACTAGTTAAACCAGTTATCAATGACTAACAAAACCTATTCTCCTTTCTTTCCCCATTTGTAGTTTTCTTCTTTGACCACCCAAGTCTATTCAACTGGTGGCCATTGTGTTGATGAGTATGAAACACTCGCCAAAGCACAGGCATTTGCACATGGTTGGGTTTATAAGTCATGAATGCAATTATTATGTAGCTTATACATATTTAACTGCTATTACATTTAGATAAGGAGAATTTTTTCTTATTCTGAATGCTGTATCTCAGGGCAGTATTAAAATTTATTTAATTCAATGAACCATCTGAAATAGATTTCATTAATATGGGGAAGATTTGAAGCAATTATGGAAGAGGGTAGTGAGAGGAAAATGGGTAGCTTGTCAAAGCAACACACTATGGTTCGTGACTTTCTGGAGTATGGAAAGGAGTAGACCAATTGAGAAAGCAGTTTATGAGTCACATTAGGATCAATGAGGGAAAAGACTTAGGATCAAATCCAGTACCTTTCAAAGATAGATTCCTAAGATAGTTACTCTGTTGTGCTTGCTCCAAATCCAGAAAGTAATTTTATCAGCAATAGTACAGGGACAGGGCAGGGATGTGGTCTAGAGTATAATACTGAGGGAGACCTGAATGATGATGAGATAGAGAAGCTCACAGAAAAATTGAGTGAATTCCAATAGTTCTACTTCTCCCCAACATGTGAACAAAATATCATTTGGACCCCAGATGCAAAAAGTTTGTTTTCAGTGAAATCCTTTTATAGAATGCTTACAATGGGACCCTAAAAAAGCCAACAGTCAGGAGAGTTTGGAGTAAATGTGCTCCCCCACAGTAAAGGTATTTGGACGGTTGCTTGCTTTGGATAAAATACTTAACATCGATTACCTCTGTGATAGGGGCATGGTGATCCTAACAGATGCGTATTGGGTAAAAGGGTGGTGGTGACAGTAAAACACATATTTTAAAGCCATTTATAAAATCCTGTCAGAAACCACTGCCTTGTTTATACTACAGTGGGTGATCGGTGAACCAGAGTCCATCTCCCTTCCTCTCCCCAAGCTGGGCCCTATCGTCTGGCGACTAACGCTCGTAACAATCTTCTGTTTGTATTGCTGAGAGGAATAACAAGACATTCAATTCAATACAAAGTGACCCAAACAGATTGAAGGAATGTATAAAGTTTACTATTATATCGTGGGCAAGAGCAAGGAAGGAGTTGTGGGGGCTCTCCAAGATGGATTTCCAGCCTCAGTAGCAATCTATATTACAAGGAAACAGTGCACTGCATCTGGAGACATGTAAGTTGGGTGCCACCGGAGAGGAAGTAGTGATAAGGGACACAAAGGATACTTTTTTTTCACTTTTCAGGTCCACCGCCGCAATGCGACTTGACTGAGGCAGAAACAAGAATTATTAGTAGGACTCTGAAGCTCAGATTCTGGTTAGAAGCAAGTTACCCTTAAGGAAGATGTAAGTAATGTCATCTTGTTGACTTCTGGAGAGACCATAGTTGTTGGGAGCAGGAGTGGGAGTGGGAGTGGGAGTAGGAGCAGAGAATTGTCCCCTGCCTGAAGTTCCCTTCCTCAGGCACGGCTGTAATTGCTTCTCTGAGAGCACTCTATGAGTGCCCCTAGTTATATATAAATATAATATGTAGCTTGTATATGCTATATGCACCCCAAGAATGCATGTCAAGGAGATCCATTAGAATATGCATATGTTATATGGTATATATGCACATCATGAAATAGGGTGAAATTTTGATAAATCAAAAAGACATATGAACACATGTGCAACAGAAATTCCCTAGCGAGACACTCATAACAAACAAATTGAGATTGTAGGGCCATGACAAGAAAGGGAATTGAAAATATCATGAAATTACTATAGTCTTTCAATGGTGCTCATGAAACATTGGAATCTATGTCCAATCTCCTATAAAGAATATAAAAAACACACACACAAAACAAACAAACCAACACAAAAGAAAAGTGGCAAAAACAGTTCAATAAACCATTAAAACAAGCCAGATTTGATAAGATCTGCCTATCCTTGCCCAAAAAAGAGACCCCAAAACCCTAGGTTGGGCGTGTTGTTACTATTTTACTGTTCACACCCAAAGGGTTTCCAACCGTAACATCCCAGACCCTTTTATTACATTATAATAAAAAAGACTAGAACAACTGCTATTTAAATTAAAATATTATAAAAATACCCATAAGTCCTTTCGCTTAAAGAAAATTTATAATGATACTTCTATGCCTAATAAAATAAGTAATTCCATAAGTATTCTAACCAATTTTCTAAATATCTCCTAAAATCTTAAAAAATATATAAAAATTCCTAGAATCCCTAAAAAACTTAAAACCCCTAAAATTGACCATAGAATATTCCAAAAATAAATCTTTAAATTTTAATAAGAAAAATTCAAAAATAAGGCACATCTTGCCTTCCATCTCACACACACACATAGTCTCACGTTTTAAGGTATTTTTCAACACTTGTATCCCCGAGGCGGATAAGGAGGAAGCCAATCGCGACCTAGGCCTGTAGGTACCAAAATGTATGTGGGTCACGGAAGCACTATTGAAATAAACCCTGATCTGGAGCACATTTTTTAAAGACAATAGATTGGTCCCAAAAAGCATGTAGAGGTAGCCCATGACCCCCTAAGAGCACCCGCCAAGTTTCCTCGTGATCTGACAATGCTAAGGTGGATCAGAGACGAAATCAGTTTTCAGATCCAACCTCTAACATGCTAAAAATGTACCTTATAACTACAGCCATATCATCGGAGCTTTGGATGAACACCAGATCACTTCCATTGGATTCAGAAGGTCCGAAAACCCCCAAATATCAAATTTCAGCTCATTCGGACACTTATGGACCGTTCTGTGGCCAAGTTACCCAATAATGGTGGGTTACGCACTACTCTGGTATCCCATCGATGAACCAGTTTCCATAGACGAAAATTGTGTGATGTGATTTCGAGATCACCTTTGGAGTGTCATAACTTCTTCATCTTAAGTTGGAACAAGCTCAAATTTCACAAGGACCTTCGTCTTGTCAACGCGCACGTTTTGATACCCGAGACGAGAGAAATCTTAGAAAGAAGTCGCTTAAGAAAACTCATGTGTTGTAGATTTTTGGAAGAAGAAGATCCCTTCAATCAAATAGTCGCATCATGAAGCCCCAATATCGGATCGGCTTGAAACCAAGTCCGTTGCGACTGCGAGGTCAAGGGCTTCGATTCCAGCTAAGCATCACCCATGATGAATGGCCAGAAGGGCTGTATTTTAAGGTAGCAAACGAGGCATTTTCCGGTGATCGGAATCCAAATTCCGGCAAGTTCCCCAATTCGACAAGTGGCAATTCGGACACCAAATCGAGCCATTCTCGTCGCTAAAGGATCGATAAAAAACGGCCAAGATCCAAGATCTAAGATTGCACATTTCTCATCTTTTGACAAATTTTGACGAGAGCTCAATGCTTTGATTCAAGGAGCAAAAGATATGTCAAAACGATCGCCTTGCTGAGACCGTCACGTTCATGGCATTCTTTTCATCGAAAAGTCATCGGCAGAACGCTAAACGAACACTGAAAGATCATCATGGTTCATGGCCACTTTTTGGAGACCATCTTGTCATTTGGAAGATGGTGGGTAGGGGTAACATAGTCATTTTGCCCTAAAAATGGGATTCGAATTTAATTCATAAAAATTATATTTTCTAGCAATTTTAGTTAGTTTTAAGCATCCACCCTTGTTTCAAGGGGAGCTCTAGCAATTTTAGTTAGTTTCGAGCATCCACCCTTGTTTCAAGGGGAGCTCTATATAAGCATTTGTAACCCTAAGTTCAAAAAGGAAGAGATTTTAATGAGATTTGTCCCCTAAACTTAAGGATTTTAATTTGAGTTTTCTTTTGGTTTGCAATACTTTTCTCTATCCTTTTCCATCCAAAGAGAGGAGAGAGAAAACTTTCCCAACAAGTCGCTACCCTTAGAACTTCTCACTCCTCACTTGGAACTTCTCATTTTTCATTTGGAACTCTCTACTTCCGACCTAGCCGCCAGTCCAGTTCAAGGATCCGACTAGGTAATCTTTCTCTATTTCTCTCTCCTCTCTCTTTCCCTCTCGTCTTCTTTTTCTCTCTCTTTCTCTCTCTTCTCTCCTTCCCTCTCACTCTATCTTCACAGTCAACTGGTCCGCCTTCTTTTCTCTCTCTCTCTCTCCTTCTCTTCCCTTACCTCTTCTTCTCTTATTCTCTCTCCTCCCTTTTCTTTCTCTTTCTCTCTCACTTTCTCTCTCCTCTCTCCACTCACTTTCCTCTCTTTTTCTTTCTCTCTCTTCTTTCTGCTCCTCTCTCTCCTTTCTTCTTCTTTCTCCTCTCTTTCCTCTTCTCTCTCCTCCCTTTTTTTCTCTCTCTCCATCTCATTCTCTCACAGTCAACTAGACCGGCAGCTAAGCCGCCGGCCCACCCTCTCCTCTTTTTTTCACTTCTCTCGCTTCCTCTCTTCTCTTCTTTCTCTTCTCTCTCTCTCTCCTTTCCCTCTTCTTCTTTCTTCTCTCCCTCCTCTCTCTCTCTTCTTCTCCTCTCCTCTTCTTTCTCTTGTCTCTTCTCTCTTCCCTTCTCTCTCCCCTTCCCTCTCTCCTGCTCTCCCACGGTCAATGGGATCGGCAGCTAAGCCGCCAGCCCACCCCTCCTCTCTCTCTTTTCTTCTCCTCTCTTCTTCTTTCTCCTCTCTTTTCTCTCTCCTCCCTTCCCCTTTTTTCTCTCTCTCCCTCTTGTTCTCTCACAGTCAACTGGACCAGCGGCTAAGCAGTAGGCCCGCCTTTTTCCCTTTCCTTATTTTTCTCTCTCTTCCTCTCTTCTCTTCTTTCTATTCTCTCTCTCTCCTTCTTTCTTCTCTTCCCTCCTCTCTCTCTCTTCTTCTTATCTCCTCTTCTTTCTCTTCTCTCTTCTCTCTTCTCTTCTCTCTTACACACAATCACACACACAAACAAGCATACACAACAATAAACATACTGCCACACACACAAACTACAATAGTACAGTGAGTTTAGTGATTATAGTCATCTTTATAATTGACAATTCCTCCAATCATTTATCAGTCATCCAAAAATGAAAACCATCTAATCATACATATAATGTTTTGTTAATGAAAATTAGGTAGCAATCCAAATCCCCGCTGATTTACCCAAAAAAAAATAACAAATATATATATATATATATATATATATATATATATATTATTTCCCTGTTTTGATAAGTGTGGGATGGTGATTGTGTGTGTGTAGTACCATGCCATATTGTGTATTGCCTATTTGACTTGTGGGATGTTGAGTATTGCAAAATGTATTTCGGCATTTTCCATTGCCTTGATTCTTTTATCTCCTTTTTTCATCAAACATAAGTTAAATTTGTTTTTCTGTTCATTGGATCATTGCCATTTTATGTATTGGTAATAGACTTTAAATCTGAGGCTACTTCTCTCAATAATATTAATCATCTTCCTAAACAATTCTTGAGGTAAAATGATTCAAAAAGCGGACCGCCCAGAGCCTAGGCAGCCTCTTAGGCGGTCCAGAAGGCCTGGGCGCATCGCCCAGGCCTAGGCGGCTAGTCTGGACAGCAATCCCTGGATGGCCGCCTAGGCAGTACGGAACCCGCCTAGGCAGGCGCCCCGCCCAGAGGCAAAATTTCTTTTTTTTTTTGTATTGATTTTGTTTTAAAATATAAAGGGTTAGAAGGATGGTTTTAAGTTCATTTGAAACCTAAAACTTATTGGAGCCCATTTTAGAGAGAGAAAGCCTCCAAAAACCTAGTTTTTGGTGATTTATTTAGGATCGAAGGGTTCTCAAAGTTGACAAAATTGATCAAAACATCACCCATTGATATTAGATTTAATTTTTGATGTTTTATAAATCTATTGGGAGGTTTTTTAGAAGATTTTGAGTCCTTAGAAGCATCTTTGAGGTGAAAGTTTGAAGATTGAGCAATCAAACTTACAGTATGTGCCCTAAATACCTAATTTTTATTTTTTATACTATATATCCTTTTTTTATTCAAATGGACATCCTTTTTGGGCCGCCCAAGTTCTGGGTGTCCGCCTCGGCACTGGGCAACCTGGGGCCTAGGGACCCGCTTAGTGCTTTTTGAAACACTGGGTAAAATTATCAGATACTTGCATGTGTAACGATTAGTCAGCATGTCATGGAACGTTCCAGCTATAGGTGGTTGTAAGATCTTAGAAATGTGTGGGATCTAGATCCTGCAGGAGAGGGATAGTGTTCCTATGGCTAGTGGGATTGCTCATGGTACCATAATGTGATCCTAAGTAATGGAGGATCTTGTTCTCCAAAAGGTCTTGATCCCCTAATCAATATTCTGGAGGCTGTAGAGCTTCCCATAACTACGAGAGAGACAGAATGTCCTGGGTGTCTCTATAATATTTTTTAGGAAATATGGGAACTCAAACAAAGTCAGAGTGAGTTTTCATCATAGATGGAAGGAAGCCGACAACTTGTTGGACCTCTTGGCAAGGGAGAGAGCTTCCAAACAACAGTTGTTGGAGGGGGGAGAGAAATGAGAACAAGGAATTGTTGCTTCCTAAGAGTTCCCTAGTTTGGGAGAGCCTATACATTAAATAATTTAAAATGGAGAAATTAAAGAGAGATTAAACACAATTTTCTAAACTTAGATGCAAAATAAACATATTCAGAATATGTCTGTTACGCTTGCAAGTAAATTTACTTAAATAAAATTTGAGAGCAATAACTTGCATTTATTTACTTGCATCTTCTCTTACATAAAATAATATACAAGGATAATTATTTGATCTTACAATACATATGTTGAGAAAGGATATTATTTCGGTCAAATCATAAAGGGGTTCTGCAATTTTCTTTACATATCCCCCTTCACACAAGACCGTGATTGTGCTCCAGGAGTGAGATATCACCACTCCTATTAGGATGTCCCAGGACGTTCTAAACTCTCTCCAGTAATTTTACTAAATTCAACACCTGATGACAGAACAAGCGTAAAATTTGGTGTAGATGCATGGCTAATATCTTGGCACATGTACATCTAATTTGTCTACAGGTGCATCCAACTTTGTACAGAAAGTATTCTTGTACATCCAATCTTTTTCAATGAAATGAAGTCAATGATTAAAAAACAGGATGCACAACATGCACAACATACCATTGTAGCTGGACTATCTGAACTTGCCAATAAATTAGGAAAGCCAATGTCCTCTATAGATTGTGTAGTTGCATGTTGATCAGGATAAAGGCACCATACCTTGCATTTCCCTGCAATAAATATAAGTGTCAATTAATACATAACTGTACCAACTTCGAATGGAAAATACAAAGATCTCCTGAATAAAACTAACCACAGTCCTGCAACCAAAATAGAAGCTACCAGTATGATGAGGGGTTACAAATTCCAGGTCAAAATGTGCCCATTCATAACCATCACAATTTTCAGAAACAATATAATATCAGTGACATATTAGGTTCATATATTTTGAATTCAGTGAAGCAATGGCTGTTGCTCAGGATGCAAATATGTTGCACATATTCATTTGTAGTGCTGACAAGTAAACAGCCTCTATAATCAAATTAATATTTCAATAAGAGTCCAGACTCCAGAGTGTTAAAATAAATGATGCAGGTGTTTAATTACTCACTAATTTGAAAGAGCACACAAAAATAAATTACAAACGCCGCTCTAATTGCCGAGGCAGGACCCATAGAAATCTCAAATCTTAACAACAACATCAAAATGTTAAAAGCAAAATCTAATATAAAAATATCTAATTTGCAGGCTTTACAATATCTCCCAAGATAATTATTTAACATAAGAACAGTTAAAATATGTAGAAGGAAACAGCAGTGTCAATCAGCATGCTCATAAACTACTACATTAAGGTACTTTGCTTATGAAATTATAAGAGCACATAGAGATATGCACTGAGAATTTTCTCTTGTACCTGCAAATTGGAAGGCACTCCACATGCTTTCTTCATGTTCACGGACACCAAAAAGGCACAAGCATGCAGATTGAACACCAAATATCTGCCACAACAGTTTTCCCGTATTGTTTTGTCGTAAGAAATCCTGCAAGAGTGACAAAAATGCATACAAGCAGTAAACAACATAACAATCATGAAAATGGAAAAATAACAATTTCAACAAGGAATGTGAATTCATAATTTTCCAGATTCTAAATCGCAAGGGAATGTAACAAAATATTTCCTATCAAGGAAAATGTTAAAGCATCAATGGATAACAACGGGAATGTTATTTCTATGAAGGGAATTCAGTGATCAATGCAATCAGTACCTAGTATAATAATAACACTTCCTCAGGGAGGAAAAAAAATGATAAAGTATGTTACTAAAGAATCTATGAATGCAAATAATGATGTATATCATAAAGAATTAACATAAAGTACAAAAGGATCCATTTCCCAAACCTTAGGATGCATATAAACCCAAAACCTCAATCCATTCCATAGAGAGCAGTTTACAATATTTGAACACATGCAATCCGTTGAAGCAAGCCAGCACTGAAATCATCACAAGACATACAATACAACATCAGCAATTAAATGAAAGAAATCCTATGTCAAGGTCCAATTGTAAACCTTTACTCATATAAGATATTTTCTTCCCTAGTTTCTAAACCTTGACAACAAAAAAACACATGCTGTGATACTTTTCATGGTAGGTAAGAAGAATTCTTGGTGTACAAAAAAGCATAATCACATAATATGGGAACAATCTTGGAATTTCCCACATAATGAATCTACAGTAGTGGACAAACAAGTCAGAAGGTACAAACAACCATTTGCCCAGCATTTGGCAAACTGCATGCCATATTAACAATAAACAGTTAGAAAATCAGACAAACGTAGTACCTCAGTTATCTAGCCAGAAATTTATTCAAAATAACAAAATGATTAACAGGCAAATCATGATACTTCTCAGGCTGAAATGAACAATTATAAATGAGAAAGATATTCTACTAAAACAACAATAATAAAGTTTCAAAACCCAATGATCAGAACATCAACAGAAGGCGACATTCCCTCAAGAGATGCGATGATAAATCAAAAAAATTGTTTCTCTATACTGTTGAAATGAGTATAGCAAATCGGATTCCCAAAATCAGTTCAAAAGCCATACTCAAAACGATGAAACATGAAGTGCTCTTCTTGTGTACGTTAATTCTTTATTTTGTAAATAGAGTAAACGATGATTATTCCAACCAAGAACTTCACACAATTTTTATGTGGTTTACAATAAAATGGACTTTCCTTGAACACACACTCCATAATGATCAATGTTTTCTCTTGATAATTTGTGACATGCCAATATAGAAACTAGTTGTCTTCCATTCGAATATTCATTTAGACCAGTGTTCTAGAAGATGAGGTCTGGGTCAGGAATCACTTGACCTGGACAAGGAACTGGCCAGTCCCCCAGAACCCCCCCACACCCCACACCCCACACCCCACACACACAGAACTTCTTTCATTTTATTCGAGTTTTTAATTTTTTTTCATATTTTACCATATTGCCAACCCAGATCGGTGTTTAGGGATCCTGACTAGGATCAATGGGCAGGCGATCTGGCCCACCAATCCAGTGTTTTAATAACTGATCTACACATTTTTCCTGCTCTTAGGACTTGGGAGTATGGTGATTAATTTGCCAATTACTTCAAAATATCTAAATTCATGATGCATGGCATTTTAAGCACTTTTCAACTGGCATTAAATCAAAAGAAATTTTGTAAATAAGCCAAGTCTCATTGTAAATATCTAAATTTTGTAGGTGCTCTTCTAACAAAAAAGAGAGAGACCTATTTCAAAAGCATTCTTCCAACTCAACGAAATAAAAATATCCTGGAAATAAATTCCCCTCAACCCTCTCTCTCTCTCTCTCTCTCTCTCTCTCTCTCTCTCTCTCGTC